TTCTCGTGTTTGGTCCTGTGCATTCAGTATGTTTTATGTTTTCCTTAGTCTTAAAATTGGGTTGCTCCTTATGTGTGCCTCATATTTTGTGTATACAATAAGGCAAAAAATTTTAAAACGTGAGTATAGCGGTCGTAAACTCGTAGACTACGTAGCAATACTGTTTTACAAGGCACTGTTAGCGAGTCGAAAAACAATCCAAAAATTAGCGATTTATTACACAATGTCTATATAATTATTTTTTGTCACGATTATTAGATTTTCCATTCTTGAGAAGAATATAATGTGGAATCATTGCTAATAAACTCATACGATAAAAAAGATCCAGCCCTAAATTAGGTATATATATAAGCCAGGCCATAAGAATGTCCATTAATTGAAATACTCTATATGGTTTTTATATGCTCTGCATTAGGCACACCAAGAAATAGTCGCCATACTTCCTGTACAAATGCGTTCCATATGTCAGAGTGAATTGTGCACCAGTGGTGGGCACCTCAAAGAGAATCCCCTGGGTTCAAGATTTCTACATCACAACATGACTACCAGTGCGAAGATCTTGAGCCTCTCACTTTGGTACACAGGCGCACCTTGTTCTAATTGACTTTCCTTGTCCCACTTCCCACTATCCATTGGATCAACAAATCCTGTTGTAGCGCCTCAACCCAGCCGAACCTTACCACATGCAGATTATTCGCCAGCATGCACCGTACACAGCAGCCCGCAGAGAACTTTCCACTTTCAAGCAGATGAATGGTGAAAACATCCTTCTAGTGTCAAACTCTTGCACAGACAGCATGTGTCCAGCAGCAAAACTTTAGAGATCAACAACATTTGTATATTCATTAGGGCTGGGACTTTATCGTGTTATTTATGATTAATTAATTACAGAAAAAATAACGTGACAAAAAAAATAATGCATTTAATCGCAATTTATTTTTTCACTCCAAACAGTGCGGAACGTTGCTCGTAGCACGAGTTCCCAGCAAACCCGTAATACTGATGCACAGGACACAACACGAGAAATGGAAACCGATGAGAAGTCGTTGCTGGGTTTGGTGGGCGGAAATTTCAGTTTTAAAAAACCACCGGGTGGAAACCTGGATAAAAGCACAGTTGTGTGCAAATTGTGCAAGAAAGAATTTCGCTACCACCTCAATGCCAAACAT